AAAAAAAAAATAGTTGTTTAAAGTAGAAATTAAAAGGGCATTTTTTTAAAAAGTGAGATTACAATTTAGGTTTGTTGAACAAAGAGGCCACCCTTTGATATGTGGTGGCTTCTTAAGTCCAGTGCCCGTCGACCTCACTGGGCCCTGCAAAACCCACCTTCACAGCCCCCACTGAAAGCCAAGTTTCTAGTCTCCACGGCTTCTGTGTCCCTTTGTTCTTCTTCCTCTGTGACTTTCTTCTGAGCATCCTGAAGGGTGATCTACAACGAGCCTCTGCCTGGTGCCTGTCTGGGGGACGAGATATCCCTGCTCCCTGGTCGCTGAAGTTTGCTCTTTTAAGAGTAAATGCCCAGCACATTCACCAACATGGATAAGTGACAAAAACCATGTTGAGCAAAAAAGGAGGCTGCCCAATGATGACCATAGCATGGTAGATTTTGCCACACATAACTTTATTAATAGACAAAGCATTATATTTGATTAAGCCAAACCTTCATTAAAGAAACAAAATTTGGAACTGAAAATCCAAATTGTAATATACCAACTTAATCAATGAAGACGCTGTGCCAGTAATGCACATTTTTAAATCGTAAGCCAAGTTTAGAAGGTCTTCGTAGCCAGAATGGCTTTAGCAGCAGCCTAATTCTGCCCAGTTCCTCTGCCACCTGCCTCAGTCCCTGTTGACACTTAATATTACTCAAAAGCATGAATCAGAAATGGCACTACCTCAGCCCATGGTGAGTTCCCATTGGCTAGATGGTGACACAGGAAGCTGATTCTCACGTAACCAGGATGTTCCAGGATCTCTCCCAGGCCTCAAGGATCGTTTCTACTTCAATATCCAAATGAGCTGGCAGGGTGCCCATTCCACGGATGAGGGAAGCCCAGCCCCTCCCCAGGACGGCCCTGAACCCCTGGAGGCTGTTCCCACAGTCTGCTCCCATGTCACTTGGAGCCTGGCAGCTGCTGTACTCTCTGCTTGCCCCCGTGTCTCCCCTGGCTTGGAAAACCACGGCACACACGGCATTTTTTCTCTTGGTTCTGTTCATAGACATTTCTGTTGTGCAATTTAATTGAAGATTTCATAGAAACAGAAGGTTATAATAATTTAAGAGTGAATATTAGACATACCTGTCCTACAGAGGCACTGGTCACTCCCCATCCCCTACCCTCCAAAACTCTCAAAATTCTATCTCCACATTAGGAATGAAGCCTATGTTGCTTGTTTGACATAAAAACAACTATGGTCAGTTGTTGCTTTAGAGGGCATGTCCCCCTCCTACTGCATGTTTGACAGTAATTACGTCTTCCATTTTCTAGAGCCAGTCCATATCCTATGCCAACCCTCACGCATCCCTGTGAAGTCCCTCCCTTATTGCAGACAGGGACACGGAGGCTCAGAGGTTAAGTGACTTGCCCGAGGTCTCCCAGCTGCTAGGCGGCAGAGTTTGACCGGGAACCAGCGCCCGCCTGATCCCCAAGCAGATGTGTCCTCGCACAACGTGGTAGGGAACTGCCGCCGCCCCCAGGATGCCTTTCACTCATGCCTCACGCCTCCGTCTCCATTCTCCTCAGGAATTCACTTCGATGGATTGGTGGAGGAACAATTTCTGGATCATCCTAGCTGTGGCCATCATCATAGTGTCTGTGGTCCTGGGTCTCATCCTGTTCTGCGTCTGTAGGCAGCTGCTCAGACAAGGTAATAGCCTTCTCACCTGGGCGGGTGGAGGGTGCTTACAAGTGCATTAGGGTTCCTGTGTGGGCTGAGCTTTGGATTAAGCATCACGCATTCTGGGTTTCAGTTCGAGCCCTGCCACTAACTTGTTTCCCTGGGCCTCAGTTTCCCCATCTGCACAGTGAACGGAGGTTAACTAATGTCCAAGAACTCTTCCAGTCCTAAGGGCCTGGGTGAGGCAGGATCTGCTCCAAGGCTCACTGTGCTCCAGGGCTTTCTGTCTTTACTGGGGCTGCTGATCACAACGTCTCCTCTCTGAGACTTGAAATAGAGCACCAGTCTGTGTAATGTCAAAAATGCTCTTGATTCCAAACCCATCAAGTTGTATGACTTAAATGTGTACAGCTTTTACTACACCAATCATACCTCAGTAAGTGGTTTTTAAAAATTGTCTCAAGGCATGGAAAATAGACTTTCTTTTTTTTTTAAATCCTCATGTGAGGATATTTTTTCCATTGCTTTTCAGAGAGAGTGGAAGGGGGAGAGAGAGAAACATCGATGTGAGAGAGACACATCGCTTGGTTGCCTCCTGCAAACACCCCAACCAGGGCCGGGGATCAAGCCCACAACCGAGATATGTGCCCTTGACCAAAATCAAACCCAAGACCTTTCAGTCCACGGGCCCATGCTCTAACCACTGAGCCAAACCAGCCAGGGCAGAAAATAGACTCAATTTATGATCGACCTGTTTGTCTGCCATGATTGCCTCCTTCAAGATCATACTCTGGCCCAGCCGGGCGTGGCTCAGCGGTTGAGCATCGACCTGGGATCCAGGCGATTGGGGTTCGATTCCCGGTCAGGGCGCATGCCCAGGTTGTGGGCTCGATCCCCAGTCGGGGGCGTGCAGGAGGCAGCCGATCAATGACTCTCTCATCATTGATGTTTCTATCGCTCTCTCTCCCTCTCCTATCCTCTCTCTGAAATGAATAAAGAAATATTTAAAAAAAAAAAAAAAAAAGATCATACTCTGAATTCTGGTATTATCCACCTTGGCCAGAGGTTCTTGGCATCCTCCAACATAAATAAGCAGCTACCTGGAGATTAACACTGACTTTAGATTCAGCACAAGTGAGTTTTCCATTTTGATATTCATCTCCAGGAACATGAAACCCCTGATTTGGTGGTGTGTGTATTTTTGAGATCGTGACCCTTTACATAATGCCCTAAACCTGGGGTCCACCTGGGCTACAGAGAGGCACCGCCACTTTCCCCTGGAGCTCCCTGGGTGGGCGTCCCTCCAGGATCAAGGCGCTGGCCTCCTGTTGCACCTGAACACAGCCTCAGAATCCTGCTTAACCCAGTGCTGGAATGTCAGGGCCGCACAAGAAGTGAAATCTTTTTGTCATTTTTCTCAATCTTTTTTAAAGATGAGAAAATTAAGATTCAGCCGGAGGTGAAGCCTTGGTTGAGGTCTTGTAGGGGTGGTGGCAGAGCTGGGAGAAGTCAGGTCCACTGAGCTCCCTATTTAATATTCTTTCCTTTCTACCACCTGATGGTGGTTTTCTTAATACAAAATGTATATTCTGGCTCCTATCGGCCTTTATCCATTTGCCTTCTTAAAATGTCTCGCTCTCAGATACAGACGTAAATATCAGCCTGAACAAACACTGTACCTATTCTTTTATCTTGACCCGCTCTTATTAGAAAGCAGTTTATAACCAATAACTTCTATGCCCAGCATGTCACAGTGTACAAACTGCTCTTCCCACTTTTTATCTCATTTCCTCCCAGCTGCACTTTTGTTTGTTCATTTGACTGATATTTCTGAACACCAGCTACGTGCCAGGCGTGGTGCCAGGCGAGGGGGACCCGAACACAGCCCACGTGCTCCTGCCGTCACTGGACTAGCGAAAGACTCAGCCAGCCCGGGTTAAATGCCAGCTCTGCCAATTTTGGGTTCTGTGTCCCTAAATCTGTTTCTTCTCGGTGGTTCTTCCAAATGCCCTGAACTCACCTGGTTTCTGAGGATTTTTAAACTCTAAAATCACAACTTTTGCTAATTCTTCCTAAGTGAATGTGTTTGTTTGTTTGTTTGTTTTTTCCTCAGGCAAGAAATTTGAAATCGTTAGGCACAAGAAACAAATGCATAAAGATGAAGAAATAATGTATGAGTAAGTGGGGGATACCCTGCTTTTTGAGAACCGCCCGCTCCCTCCCACGCTGGGCCATTCTCCCCGCCCTAAGGGCAGAGGTCCCAGGGCCCCAGGCTGCAGGGCACCATCTGTCTCTCTGCTCTCCAACTCCTCCCTCATGTCACCTACTTTGATAGAGGTCACCGGGTCGGGCTCTGTGTTCTGGGTCCACCATTCAGGGTGTGTGCTGCCCTTCTTTTCTTGAGGTGGTTTTCGAGTATAGTCCTTTAAAAGCTATTGTGCTGAACAAAAATATGCCACCCGCTTCACTTTTGTATTTCGTGATATCTTTGGGGCTTTATGATTGCTATCTGCGGTGGGGGTCCCCAGGACCGCCTGTAGGCTGGATGATTTGCTAGAAGGACTCACAGGACCCAGAAAAGTTGTTACATTTATGGTTAAGGGCTATTACAGTGAGAGGCTACAGATTAAAATCAGCAAAGGAAGCCCGGCCGGGTGGCTCAGTTGGTTGGAGCGTCATCCTGTGCACCCAAAGGTGGTGGGTTCAATTCCCGGTCAGGGCACATACCTAGGTTGCAGGTTCAGTCCCCAGTCGGGGTGCGTACAGGAGGCAACTGATTGATGTTTCTCTCGCATCTCCCTCTGGCCTTCTCTCTCTCTAAAATAAAAATCAATAAAAACATCCTCGAGCGAGGATTAAAAATGCCCCCCCGCCCCCGGCCACAAAATCAGCAAAGGAAAAAAGGCACATAGAGTTGAGTCCAGGAGAGACCAGGTGCAAGCTTCCAGTTGTCCTGTCCCAGTAAAAACAGGTGGACAGTGCTTTTTCCTCCCAGCAATGAACTGTGACAGCCACTGTGAAGCACTGCCAACCAGAGAAGCTCACCCGAGCCTGATTTCTAGGGTTTTTATTGGGCATCAGTCTCACAGGCATGGAGCGCCCTCATGACTGCTTTAGCTACTCAGTCTCCAGCCGCTCCAGAAGCAAAGCTGATACAGCATGACCCGAGGCCCAGGGCAAACACAGCAGGCATTCACCATCAGCCACCTTGTTAGCATAAACTATCTGGCTGGCCCAAGGCCCCAAGTACACAAAGTCTCTCCTATCAAGCAGGACATTTCAGGAGCTTAGAGGTTATCTCCCAGGAGCTGGCCAGGGGCCAGCCCTTTCTTTGGAATGTACACACCACCTGGAATAAAATCTGTGCTTTTCTGAAATGAATTTTGTTAGGGCTCAAGGGATCTAGCAAATAACAGGCCTCTTCCCTACCAATTCTGATCCACTGAGGGGTAAAACAAATGTATTATGCAGTTAGGTAACCAAAATATGTCTCTTCTTCATGGGCAAATGTGTTTTCTAATTCAAAACCAGGAGAACATTGCCGCATGGTACACAGGAAGCTCTGGAGAATCTCAGGTCTCCCCTGCACCGCAGCCCCTTTCTCTGAACGGCAAAGACCAGAGCAGGATATATGTTTTCTGCACTCAGGCCTGCTCTGGGGGAGAAAGTGGGAGCAGCTGGACTTTCCCCAAATTTAGGAGTCAGATAAATTTCCCTCCTCTCCTAGGAAGAGCCATAGAGGGGTGGGAAAAAAGGCCACTGATGGAGCTCTTGCCACGTCTCCCTCTCTACTCGCCCAGACAATCTAAAATTTCTCATGCATTCCGAAGGGAATTAACACATAGAGGGGACCAAAACTTGCCTCAGAAGAATCTAGTACCAGTTTGAAAATCAGAGTGCATAGAGAGGAACGGGGGTCTAGGTAAGGAGGCTTGCTTGGAGACTTTTTGTTGAAACTTCTTAGTGAATTATAATTTGAGTACAGAAAAGTGTGAATGGTAAGAGCACAACTCAATAAATTTCCACAAACTGAACAGATCCAGGTAGCTGGCACCCAGATTAAAAAAAACAAAACAAAATTACCAGCACCTCAACATCTTGTATTCCCTTCCGGCCACTCCACCCTAAGGATAACCACTATCTGAAATAGTATAGGTCCCATTTTCTTGTTTTTATGCTTTATATAAATGGAATTACACAGTATGTATTATTTGGTGTCTGGCTTCTTTTGCTCAACATTTTTGTGAGATTCACTGTGTGGGGCTATACACTGTCCGTTCTCACTGCTCTGGAGTATTCCACTGTGGGAGGGTGAATTTATCCGTCCTACTGCTGGTGGGCATTTGGGGCGTGTCCAGTCTGGGGATGTTACAATCAGTGCTGCTGTGAACGTTCTAGTACATGTCTTTGGATGGGCGTATGCAGGCATCTCAGCAGGGTATATATCCAGTAGCAGAACTGCTGTCACGTGGCATGTGTACAGTGAGCTTTAGAAGTACAGCTGTTTTGCAAGTCAAAATACAGCTGGCGCTTACCTGCCCCTCTTCACCAGCTCAGGTGAGCCCAGGAAAGGGTGCTCCATGCTCTAAGTTACAGTGTTCAACTCCCTTCCCTCAAATCCAGCTGCTCTCTGGGCTGGAGGAAGGGGTTTCTTTAGAGTGCTGGTTACACATGGGGTGCAAGACTTAGAAAGGGGAAGGGATGCTTCCAAGGTTTCAGGAACCAAGATTTGGATGTTCAACCCTGTCAGCCTTTTTCCTGTAAGTCCACTGACAGCCGGCATGGTCAAACCAAACACCAACTCCTTTTTCTTTCTCTCCAGGAATGTTCTCAATGACTTGCAGGTCCAATCACCCCCTCTGCCACCCAGGGATTTCCTTTCTCAGCAAGATGCCTGTAAGTATATTTTGCTAACAACAGTCTCATTCAGGGTAGGATAACAAACTTATCTAGGTGTCTTAGTTGGCTCAGGCTGCCCATAACAACATACTATAGACAGAGTCACTTAAACAACAGTTTATTTTCTCACAGTTCCAGAGGCTAGAAATCCAAGATCAAGGTACCAGCTGATTTGGTTTCTGGTGAGGACTGTCTTCCCCGCGGCCTGCAGATGGCTGCCTTCTTGCTCCCAAGGTCAGGAGAGCTTTCCGGTGTCTCTTTTTATAAGGGCACTAATCCTAGCAGACCAGGATGCTAGCCTAACGACCTTATTTAACAATAATTACTTCCTTACAGGCCCCATCTCTAAATACACCACACTGGGGATTAAGGCTTCAACATACAATTTTTGTGGGACATAAACATTCAGTCTAGGATGTGCAGGTGGCAGCAACCTGTTTTAAAAAGGGTTAGAAGTACCAGTGCTCCCAATACTCAATTTATAAATTCATATTCAAATCCCAGCTTGGAACGTGAGTAACAAGGCACCTGAGGTTGCCACTACCTCTCACATTTCTATCAGAAAAACAGTCTGCTTCCCCTGACTAGAATGTTCCTGAAGCCCTTTCCATAGCCAGCTTTGCCTCACCCTTCAAGTGTCAGTTCACATGTCACCAGCTCAAAAAGGCCATTCCTAGCCACCCTGTCAAAAGTAATCCTGCTAATTTTCTGTATAAAACTTACAGGAATCACCAAAATTGTCTTATTTCATTATTGATTATTTGTTTATTTATCATTCTCCTCTACTAGACTATAAACTCCAGGAAACAGGAACCTTTCTTGTCTTGCTCACCACTCAGAACAGTGTCTGGAGCTTAGTAGATAATAAAAATGTTTTGCTTAAACGGGTAAATAATACTAGTAGCTAACATGTAACATGCACTGTGTGTGAGGCCCCATGCTAGGCCGTTTACAGGCATTATCTCATTTAAAAGTGACTTACTCATGGTCACACAGCTAGTTACTGCTGGAGGCTGCACACGAACTCGGATCTGTCTAACTGCAGAGCTCTGCAGAAAAAGAAATGGTGGCAGTTTTTCAGGTTCTCTTAGGAAAAGATGAGCCCAGCCGGGCGTGGCTCAGCAGTTAGGCGTCGACCTAGGATCCAGGCGATCAGGGTTCGATTCCCGGTCAGGGCACATGCCCGGGTTGTGGGCTCGATCAATGACTCATCATTGATGTTTCTAGCTCTCTCTCTCCCTCTCCTTTCCTCTCTCTGAAATGAATAAAGATATATTTAAAAAAATAAAAAAAAAAAGGAAAAGATGAGATTGTGGGACAGGCGGTTCCAGTCCCTGTGAAAGGTGGAACTGAGCTGTTTTGTTAGCCTTCCTGTAGCCACTTCAGTCCTTTTGCTGTGTAGCCATGCTCCACTAATTCTACCTCTTGAAAACACCACCCTTCCCTTCTTCCTTAGCAGAGAGCTTCATACATGAGCAATTAGCCACAGTTCTGGAAAACAGTGTAAGTCATTGTGAGGGATGCCAAAAAGGAAATACGGTTGTATCACTTCCTTACGAGAATTAGTATCTGTAGACACAACACTACTCAGTTGGCTGCTAGCTCTGGTCAGTTTCTGGTCCAAGTCTCTGTTTCATGGTTCCCACTGCAGCGCAGTCTTAGGCGCAGGGGATGTGGCAGTCAAGGTGTCTGGCCAGTATTTGCCATTTACTCAGCTGGGTGATCCTGAGACTGTGCGGTGGCTGTGCTTCAGCTTCCTTTATAAAATGGGGATGTGGCCCACCAAGAAATGGAAAGATTACCCATGAAAACCGGCTGGCTTCCCCAGTCGGAGGCGTGCAGGAGGCGGCCGATCAATGATGACTCTCATTGTTGATGTGTCAACTCTCTCTCCCTCCCTCTCTCTGAATCAATAAAGGTACTTTTTTTTCAAAACCATGCTGAGCCACTCGGTCAAAACTATACCCACACACAAGAGCTTTGCATCAAAGGGCCTGTTTGTTTTCTAGCCCCGCAGGAAAACCCAAGTGAGCCGCCAGCGACCTACTCCTTGGTAAATAAAGACAGATATATGACGACAGTGTCCATCCCCAGCTACATCGAGCCTGAGTGTGACTATGATGACGTTGAGATGCCTGCAGGTCTGCCAAGCTGTGATTTTGAAACAACCGTTTCTTCTTTTTGGCAAGTTGAAGAGGCTTCGTACATCTTATAAAACCATCAAGAACGGCTGAACCTCTGTGTCCGGTCCCGGTGGAAATGTTACACGCTCTGTACGATAAACGCTGCCTGAACCTTAGGTGGCGACGCGCTAGCGATCAAATGACTGCAGCCAGAGAAGGGCCCGGCTGCGGGGCCCCGAGGACCGAGGGCGGTCGGGCCCGTGCGCTTCCGCGGGGCGAGCTTCCGCGGGCCGTGGCTCCCCCGGGGAGAAGCCGCAGTGCGCTCTCTGCCCTCTTTCCTGCCCCTCTCTGCGCGGCTCTAAGCGACCTTCGGGCTTGGCGTTGGCGCAGAGGCCCCCGGGGTCCCGTCCCCAGCGTCACCGCAAGG